GGCAACAACAGTGAATATTGAGGTCTTTTGTGGCGAAGGTTGCAAGTGATATTGCTGGTGCTCTTGCTCCTGCTGGTACTGCTGCTGCTGTTGCTGCTGCTAGTGCTGCTGCTGTTGCTGCTGATGGTGCTGGTTCTCGGATGATGAGTATAGGCTGATAAGGAGGAGGAGGAGGAGGAGCAGGACAAGAAGGACAAGAAGAAGGAGGAGGACACATGACGAACACAAGATCCTCTTAGGATGTCTCTTGGGAGTTGTGTTGGAAATCTCTTGGAGCGTCTGGGGGGGATCTTGGGGGCCTCGGGGATCCTCTTGAAGCCTCTTCGGGGTCTCGTGGAGGTCTCCTGAATGCCTCTCGGAGCCCCTTGGGATATCTCTTGGGCGGTTTTTGGAGGCCTCTTGGGACGTCTTGGGGGTCTCTTGGCGGTCCTGAGAGATTATTGGGCGTCTTGGGTGCCTCGTGGAGGCCTCTTGGGGCCGCTTGGGGTCCTCTTGGGGGCCGCTTGGGGTCCTCTTGGGGGCATCTTGGGGATATCTTGGGGCCATCTTGGGGCCATCTTGGGGCCATCTTGGGGCCATCTTGGGGCTTCTTGGGGCCAGGACGTCTTGGAGGACATCGATCAAAGAAGGGGGGGTCCCCAACTACGGTCCCCCCCACTCAGGAGGCCAAACTGGGGCCAAAACCATCGTAAAACCAATGATTTGGGCTTCCTCGCCGAGGCCGTTTTGGACGCTCCAACGCGTCGCGAAACCCCCCGTCCAGGTCCAGGGGACCCCTCCCCGCCCGCAAGCCGTCTCGCTCACTCCCACCCGCCCTCCCAACACAGACGTAGCACCCGAGCCTGGCCCGAGCCGCAGCATATGCAGCAGTCGTCTTTGGATGCGCATCCGCCGCCGCCGCCGCCGCCCGCCGCCGCCGCCGCCGCCGCGCCGCCGCCGCTGGCCGCCGTTCGCCCCCGCCACCGCGCGCCCGCCGCCGCTCCCCTGGCCCGAATCGGCCGCCGCCAGCAGCCGCAGTCGCTGCCGCCACCGCTGCCGCCACCGCCGCCGCCGCCCCCGCCCCCGCCCCCCGCGCCGCCCTCGCCCCCGCCGCCGCAGCCGCTGCAGCCGCTGCCCCCGCCGCAGCCGCCGCAGCCGCCGCCGCCGCCGCCAAGTGTTCTTTGTTATTTGTTGACAGGGATGGTGGGGTGTGGAGGGGGGGGCGCATCGGGTTCGCTGCGCATGCTCCGAATTTGGAGGCAGAGTGTGTGTTTGTAGTGCTTTGTTACAAGGGATGGTGGGGGCAGAGTGTGTTTTGTATTGTCTGTTTCAAGGGATGGTGGGGGGGGGGCCCGCATAGACTTGGGTTGGCTCCTAGTCGCCTGGGGGAGGGGGTGTATACTAATAGGGAACAGTGATAACCCCATCCCCGAAAGGGAAGTAGGAGGGGCAACAAAGGAAACACTTTAGACCACCTACGCCCAGAGGGCTGGTGGCCTCTCCTCTCGCCGCAACGATTCCCCTTCCCCTCCCACTCCGGATGGGGGACTGGTGGAGACAGTGGTTGGGGACGGTGGTGGGGATGGTGGTGGGGATGGTGGTGGGGAGTGGGGACAGGGGGAAGAGTGAGACCGTGGTGGGGACACTGGTGGGAACAGTGGGGGCAGTGCGACAGTGGTAGGGGCACTGGCGGGGACAGTGGGGACAGTGGCGGGGACACCGGGGACAGTGGGACAGTGGTGGGGACAATGGGGACAGTTGGACAGTGGTGGGGACGGTGGTGGTGGGGGCAGCAGTGGAACAGTGGTGGGGACGGTGGTGGTGGGGGCAGTGGTGAGGGCGGTGGTTAGGACGGTGGTGGGACAGTGGACAGTGGGGAAAGTGGTGGGGACAGTGGGACAGTGGTGGGGAAAGTGGGACAGTGGTGCCGCACAGTGGGACACCGGTGGCGACGGTGGGCACAGTGGGACAGTGGTGGGGCCATTGGGAACAGTGGGACAGTGGTGGGGACAGTGGGGAGAGTGGGATCGTGGCGGGGACATTCGTGGGGACAGTGGGACAGCGCGACAGTGGTGGGGGCACTGGTGGGGAAAGTGGGGGCAGTGGTGGGAACAGTGGACAGTGTGACAGTGGTGGGGAAAGTGGGACAGTGGTCGGGACAGTGGTGAGGGCGGTGGTGAGGACGGTGGTGGGACAATGGGACCGTGTACAGTGGGGAGAGTGGTGGGGACAGTGGTGACAGTGGGACAGTGGTGGGAACAGAGGAACAGCTCAGTGGGACAGCGGCGGGGATAGTGGGGACAGTGGTGGGGACAGTGGGGACAGGGGGACAGTTGTGGGGACAGTGGGGACAGTGGGGAGAGTGGGACCGTGGCGGGGACAGTGGCAGGGACAGTGGTGGGGACAGTGCGACGGTGGTGGGGGCATTGGTGGGGACAGTGGGGACAGCGATGGTGGGAACAGTGCGGACAGTGGGACAGTGGTGGGGACAGTGGTGAGGACGGTGGTGGGGACCCGGGAGTCTTTTGCCGGCGGCAAGGGAGGGGTGTTCGAACCGGAAGTGATTCCCCCCGGTTTTCTGGAGGGGAGGGGAGGGGTGTTCGAACCGGTAGTGAGTGACTCCCCCTGGTTTTCTGGGGGGGGGAGGGGAGTTCGAACCGGTAGTGACCCCCTCGGGTTTTCCAGAGTGGGGAGGGGAGGGGTTAGGGGGTTAGAGGGGTGGGTGCCGGGTGAAGCGGGGGGAGGGAGGGATGGGGGGGTTCGAGCAGGGGGGGGGGATTTTTGGAGGGGGGGAGGACCCCCGGGTTCCGGAGGAAGAGGGGGGGAACTTTCCACAGTACAGCGGCGGTGGATCACGCTTTCTCTCACGCCGACGTCGCGGATACATCGCCGACGTCGCCAGTGCATGGCCGATGCATCGCGGATGCATCGCCGATGTATCAGCGATGCGGCGAGATCCTCCGACCCCTTCTACTAGGACCCCATCTAGGAGGCCTCTAGTGTCTCAGGGTGGCACGAGGGCTGTATAGACCCACGGGCTTTCTCCCTCGCGCCCGTGGAGGGCCCCCCGGAAGGCGGACACTGCGAAGTGCACTCGGGCAGGCGGTGCGGTGGGGTGACCTACAAAAGGGTGAAGGAAGGGCCCTCAAGGGCCCCTGCAGGGCGCTTTTTCTCCACCCTCCATTTCTTGCCCCCCCCACTTGCCACCCGCCCGCCATGCTTTGGGGGACCCTTCTCCTGCAGGACCTGTTCTCGGGCGAGCGTGGTAGGGATGAGGGTGGGTCGTCCCAGAGCGTTCCGCAACGCTCCAGGGCGGCCGCGGCGCCCGATTGGTCTTCCGTATCCATGCGGATGTTTCCGCCTTCCTACTTCATGTTTCTACCTACTTCTCTTCTTCCCACCGACGTGTAAATCTTTTTCCCAAGGAACATACGGCAAACATGTGGAGTGGAGGGGAAGACACAAGTCCAGAAAAGATTGGGACATACGCGGAACCCTGGGCTTTGTGTCTCTTTCTTTGTGTGTCCTCGGGCACCCCCCACCCATCCTCATCCTATTCTGCCTCAGGCTCCCTTCGCGCTCGACCCCCTCGTCTGAAGGCCGCCTAAGTGGAGCCGGAGGGTCGCTCCGCATCACAGATCATCCGCACCCGCCCCGTTGGGGCGGCATCTGTCGTTGTGCTCCCGAGGGGGCGGGCCGGGAGGTGCTTCTGGCCCGGCTCCGCTCCGAATCGGCCCCAGGACCCGCCTCGGGGCTCCGTCCCGACTCCTTCTTCCAGGCTCCGAGGAGGAAGAGGCACCCATACCTCTGACCCTCTCTCGTCTTCCCCTTCCTGGGCCTCCTGGGAGGCCCTCGCCGCCACCGCCGGATTCGCCTCGAGGTCCGTACAGTGCCGTTTTCAATACCTGCTCCGCGTGCGGATCATGTATGAAACTGCAGGGACTTAGTATTGAAAACAACGTTGAGTTCACGCATCCATTTATTCATACATTGCTCATGGATTAAAAATCCCATGTGTTAAAAATTGTTGCCTCCGAGGCGGGCCCAGCCGCGGCGGCGAGCAGCGCCCCAGCGGCCCACCGCGGCCGGGGGAAACGCCAGAGCGGGCCACACCGTTGTCCCGGCTCGGCAGGGCCGCCCACGATCCGATTCGATGCGGTTCGATTCACGGGCTTGGCTCAAGTCGGGCCCCCTACAAGGGGATTTTCGTCGAAAAATAGAAAGTACCCCCGAAATAATCAAAAATAATACAAAAATAGTCTGGGGACCATTTTTTGAGTATGTTTTGACCTTTTGGGCATGTTTTGGGAGTATTTTTATTTTTCGTCGGAAATCCCGCTGCAGGGGGACACGCCCGACATAAGGTTGGGCCCGCGATTCCGAGTCGGTTCGGCGTGGTCCAGTTCAGCAGCACCTGCCCGGGCCAGCTGGAGCCGCGCGCGGCGATCCGATTCGCGGCCCCAGCGGGAACGATTCGCTGGCGATCTGATCCCTGTCCGATCCGATCCGACTTGGCGACTCCATTCGGCGCAGGCCTGCCCGGCCCTCCTCCGAGAAACGACGACGACGACGGCGGCGGCGGCGACGGCGATGCAGGCCTGCCCAGCCCTCCTCCGAGCAAGGAAGGGCCACGCGCAGAGGGGGGGGGTGAAGGGGGGAGGACTTCTCTTAGAAACACCCCTGCTTCTTAGAAGGCGCGGGCCTGATCTACAGATGTAAGGACGAAGCAGCTTCTCTTTAATCGGGGGCGGCAAAGAGGGGGGTGATGACTAGGGCGGGTGGATATCATGGCGGGGCCATGATATTTCCCCAGGTTCCATGGCGCCTCTTCTTGTTTCATTACGTCCCTGGACCCCCCGCTGGGCCGCGCACGTGCCGCCGGTCATGATTTGCATCCCCCCTTCTTGGACACCCCCCTCTTGGCCACTCCCGATTTACGAAGCCCTCCCCCCTCCCTCCACCCCCGTGTGCGCGCCGCCAAAATGGTGCCCCTCTGCGGGCTCACGCCGTCTGCGGCCGGAGGTCGGCGAATGGCGGCGGAGCTCGCAGACGCCATGGGGTCCCTGCGCCTCGCGGCGGAGGCCGCGCCGCAGAGGCGCCCTCCCCGCGGCAGGGAACGGTGGAGGGTCTTTCCGAGGGGCTTAGGCGACCCGTCCTCCTCTCTTCGTCTCCTCCTCCTCCTCCTCCTGCTCCTCCCCCTCCTCCTCCTCCTCCTCCTCCTCCCTCCCCTCCTCCCCTCCTCCCCCTCTCCTTCTCCTCCTCCTCCTCCTCCTCCTCCTCCCCTCCTCCTCCTCCTCCCTCCTCCCCTCCTCCTCCCCCCCCCCCTCCCCTCCCCCTCCCCTCCCCCTCCCCCTCCCCCTCGTCTCCTCCTTCCTCCTCCTTCCTCCTCTCCTCCTTCTCCTCCCTCCTCCCCCTCCTCCTCCTCCTCCTCCTCCTCCTCCTCCTCCTCCTCCTCATCCTCCTCCTCCTCTTCTCCTCCTCCTCCTCCTCTCCTCCTCCTCCTCCTCCTCCTCCTCCTCCTCCTCCTCCTCCTCTTCCTCCTCCTCCTCCTCCTCTTCCCCCTCGGGTCGCCTACGGCCCCGGGGAAAACCGTGCAGGGAACGGTGCCCGGACAAGAAGTGTCAACACCCATGGCGGTAAGGCGATGCAGTATGAGAACAACCACGACTGCGAAGCGCCCCTGCTTCGCACCCCTCCCCCACAAGCCCGAAGTTGAGGTGTCCACATTTTGTTTCTGGCCTTGGCCTACCGCCCAAACCCGTTAACTTCAAGTGTGGGTGGAACGGGATGTATATGTTGGCCTGGCGTGCTTTGATAATTCGAAGTCTTGGCGAGACACGTGTGGACACTTTTAGTCCACTCACCGAAGTGGGGGAGGCCGGTCGAGTCAGGAAAAAACACATCGCGACGGGAGGTTTTTGGCTACTCTCGGCCTCTGGGGTCCTTCGCTGGGCCTCGGGTCCGTCAAGAAACTGCTCAGGATGAAACACGGGTCCCTGGGAATGGGTCATGATTTCCGAGGGTCGACGTCATGAATATATCATGGCGTCGGGGGTTCGGGCATACCGCTACAGTCAGCCCGCACAGGAATGAGGGGCAACCGTCCCAAGGGTACCCTCGCATCCTTGCCTCCTCGGTCCATCCTGAGCCACTCTCGTTGGCCGCACCCCGCCCGAGAAGCTTCGAAGTGGGCGTTCAAATCCCTTGCATCCTTACCGCGTATCCTAACTATACGGGTTGACTATACCTTTGCCTCGTGTTCATTCGTTTTAGGCGACCCCCACGCTCACTTAGCCCGCACAGTGGTACCGCCGTAGCTGCGCCTGCTGGTTCGGAGGAAAAGACGGCGCTTGCCCCGCCGCGCGCGCGCGGCCAGCCGGCCCCCTTTCCCACTCTTAGGGCCAACCTAAGGTTTAGCGGACATAGCGCCACATATTTTCATGGCGGGAAGAAGCTCATAACCCAGAAGTCGAGTGAACCTGAGTATGCTGTTTCGAGAGAATGGAGAGAATCTATCGATCAACATGGTCAAGCATATGTCAATGTCATCAAATGGCTGGCAAAGTATTGGTTATCAGTAGAGAGTTCCGTCCTCGACGAAAGAAATCATACCTGAAGGAGGAACGAACGCTGTTCCTGCCTTTCAAAGGTGATGAACGTCCGGTTGACGAATCGCGCACCGAAGAAAAAGTGCGGCAGTCCCTGAAGAAACCGACTCCGTTGAAGAAGGCGAGGAGGCGGGTCTACGCGTTCGCGGAACATATATAGGATTCTTTCGCACGCGGAAGAAGCCCGTCCAAGCGCGCCGAGGCTTAAGAGCAAGGTCATATCTCAGCAGGGACGCGGAAAATAATCAGATGATGACCTCCTCTCGCTCGACAACCGCACGGGCGATTCCGAGCGCTCTCCCGGCGACGACCACGGCGCAGAGACGATGCCATATCAGGAGAATTTCTCTCGCAGATCAACGCCAGCGCCGGTCGGAGATTATGAGAGCCAGGGGCCACGCGATGCGGGGTGCGGGGCCCATGATCCCGCGTTTCCCGCTCCGCTGGGCGATCTGCCGCAGTTCGCGGCAGAGCTGCCTCATTTCGCGGCGAAGACGCGGCAATCCCGTCAGACTGCTCCCTAGAACGACGTTTAGAGGATGTTATGGGCGAGGACTTCGCGGGCGACGATGTTTGACCGACGAACGAGCAGAGACAGGAGCCAATCCGTCTTTCTGTTACCTCGCCTCTCGGAGAGCGAAACAGGTCCGGCGATGTCCCGGGGCAGCGCCCCATGCATTTTCCGGGGTGGCGGGTCCCGGGGGCCGCGCGCCAGGATCCCCCGGGGGGGCCGCAACGCTCGAATCCCCGAATTTACGCGCCCGCTTTCCAAGGAAGAGAAGCACTGAGAGGGGCGAGCCCAGGGCTCCCATGCCGCGATCAGAGGTGTCGGATCCGTCTGACTGGTCAAGAAGCCCGAGCAGTTGTAGCATGCGGATCAATGCCCAGAGCGCGAACTTTGGCCTCGAGTGTAATGAAATGCTTGAGTCGCGATGCCCTGGCCTGTCTGGCCCGTGTAAGAAGCCTGTCCGATTTGGGCGCTCGAACGACTGCGACCATTGCAACCTTATTTTCTTCTGCGCGGCTTGCGCGGCTCCCGCGTCGCACATTTGCGCTGGATTACGGGTTGATGAGTGGCGAGAAGCAGAGGAAAATATGAGGGTCGAAATAATGGGTGCCCGGGGGCGAGATCTGGCCGAGATGCGCGAAGACTTGAGGCAATCAGAGATTTGACAACAGGAGGCTGCCGCCCAACGGCTCGAAAGGGCTTGGGAGATCTTGGCGAACGCTGCGAGCGCCCCGGAGGAGCGGCGGCTGAGATGCGGGAGTTGGCCAACAGGCTCGAGAACACCGTCGCCTCTGAACGCCAGGCGCGTCTCCACGAGCAGAACTCTGCGGAAGAGGGGGGGCGCGCGCGGCGCGGGGGGCCGGCGAGGCTCAGCGGGCGACAATGGCGCGGGCAGCCGCGGCACTGCAGGCAGCCGAGAGCCGCAGTGCACAATTGGCGGCAGAAGCCGCTGCTGCCATGCGCCAGGCCGAGTCGAACCGACTCGTCGCGGATGAGAGCCATGCTCGATCTGAGGTTAAGAAGCTGCGAGCCCGCAAAGAGGCGCGGAGGGTCGAATTGATTGCCGAAGAAAAATGCAACCGCGCACATTCATGCGATGGAGATGGAGGTTGCCCAGGTGACTAGGAAAAGGGAAGCAGAACGCGATGCCTCCTGTCGCCAACTTTACCAACATTAGATACAATGGTACCGAAAAGAGGTATCTTCGCCAGCAGCCTCAGGCACGGTCTCTTCTGCCGAGGCGAGTGCAGCGACGGCGCCCGCGGCCCAACCGCCGGCGCCGACTGCCGTCGGGCGGCCGCCGGCGCAGGGAACCCGAGGCAGCGCCCCCGCGCGGGGGGTGTCGGGCGTTCCGTTTGCGCCAGAGTGGCGAATCACGTTTGTTCTAAGTGCAAGACATGTTGGCGCAACGCTCACTTCATGGGGATGGTGAGATGCGCGCCCGCTGCGACGGGGCGCGCTCCGCAGCCGTGGAGAACGAGGAAGAGGAGAGGCCCCGAGAAATCGAATGCGGGGAAAGACAGGCCAGAAATACATGTCAAGAACAATTATCGCTGCGCCAGTGCCGGGGCCCCCCTCTCGAGACCCCTCGCTTCGGCCTCGTCGAGCCCAGGGCAATGCCTCAGGAAGTGGTGGGGGACTGGTCGAGAAAGCCGAATCTACGAGGCTTCTCGAGCTTGAGGAAAGTCTTGGGCAGGCCATGCAGCGCGGAGAAGATCAAGCCAGAATGCGTGCCGAACGAAGGGAGAAGATCCGGGACATGCGCGAGGGAAGGGCAGAAGCCGTAGCCAACGCGGGGAAGGCGGGGTCGATGGCAGCCCAAGTCAATGCTGCTACACTCTTGCCCAGATACACGCCACCACCGGCGAGGAGCTTGCCGAGCGTCTTCAAGAATAAGGAGAGGGATGACGAGATGACTCCTCCGCGGAAGGCACCGGGGCTCAAACGCGCAGTTTCGGGCCGCCCCGACGGCGGCAGCGGGGGCGATGGCGATGGCGATGGCGACTTCCACGTTGGAGACGACGGGCATGCAACGCCTGGTGGGGGGGGGCTAACCCCGATCGACGGCGTCGACGCGGCGGAGGACCGCCCAGAGGTGGTTCCCCTGGCGGAGGCGGTGGAGGTGGGGGCACCGGCGGTGGACTATGTCCCAGCCATCCCATGCAGGGATGACGCAGGCAAGCCGGATCAGATTTCGCTGGGGGCGATACCGGATGCTGCTACTTACCAGCGCCGCGGGCGCAACGTCGTCAGGTCAGCGGCCTCCCCCTCTTAGAATTGCAACGGGACCGTCGGCTAAGCGTCCGACTTGAAGAACGTTGACGACAAGGAGCTGAAAGACCGTGGCATCTTCTTTCGGCTCGATCTAATGGTCGCAGCCGGCTTAAACGAGATAATCAAGGATCGGCAGGCGTCATCTTAATTACGACATCTTGCGGGCGAGATCGGGAGGCTGGATCTCGCATCGCAGGCCACCTGGCGCATCGTGGAATGTCGGGAGATTTTGCGCACCATTGCCGTGCACGCGACCGCCGGGCAGGATCATGGCCAGGTGTACGCGTACACAGATCTCATGGAAATAAAGATCCGTGGTGCTGGCAAGGAAGCGGATGTCGACTTGTTTCACTTCTAGGGCGAGTGGGTGCGGACGCTGAACGCGATGGAACTGGACTTGTCCTTGTGCTTGGCCATGCAGGATCATTTCTACCGCCAAATGCAGGAATACCCTTGCATGCACTACACCCTTGTCATCTACGATCGCAGCAACTGGGCAGGCACGGAGATTCGGCACACGCGACCTGTATTGCAGAGAAAAAGTGCAAACCATTGTATCCATCATACAGGGCGGACGCACGCGCGTGTTTCCGTCATCATAAAAGGACGACGCTAAAAGTTACAGTTCACGCATACACAAAATTGGCTGCTGCGCGTGCCATCTGCGACCTTGTTTATATATCCGCGCCGCGTGGCGCTACTTGC